AGCCAACTGGACGCCCACTCGAAGCTCCACAACGAGAAATGGTCCACCGACGACTACAGGAAGTGCAAGCTCTGCCGCAAGCAGTTCACCCAGCCGCTCCTCTATCGGCAGCACTTGCGCGACCATTATAAAGTAAGAGAACGAGGCGCGAATCGCGGCCCCGCAATGGGACACCTTTTGATAAAAAAGTGCCACGCTCGGCGAAATTCAATTACGAGGCACGAAGCTCCGTGCGACCTGGGCTTGGCGGTACCGGCGAGCACGGCCGCTTTAACGCGAATTTCGCTGCGAAGGGAGGCGCGCGGATTTCACTCGCTTCCCACTCGTTGCCCCTCGTTATTTAGCATTTGATGGACGGTTTTCGTGAGATGCCCAAATGGCTGCCAGTACAAAGCGGTAGTAGTAGTACACTTTGGATCTGGTCTGAAGGAATTTAGAAGCATGACGCGATGATAATATTCGTTGCCTCCTCCTCCTTCTCCGGAGTCAGCTGCTGTCATTCGCTATCAGCTTCTTTTACGATTGCGGTTCTTTAGAAACGTCACGCTTACGTGCATGTATACGAACGTGTATATATATATATATATATATATATATATATATATATATATATATATATGTATTTCCCTCTGTTTGGTTAATTAATTATTTGTTTAACAAATCACGCGCGTGTAGGCATGCATTTAGGCGGTTCGTCGTTGGACCAAATAACAATACAATGCCTAATTATTCCTCGATTATTTAGCGGACTTTATTTATTTTCTCGATGCGCGCATTAAACGAACATTAAGCAAGTAAAACAAAATATTTCTTGCCCGCGAACTATGGCGTTTTATGCAAAATATCTTCCAACAAAATACTTAATTTTGACACAGACTGAGAAGCCACGTCTGATTATGAATTTATTTATTGAATGCTTGATCGATTGGGAACGGGAGGAATAATAATCACGATTATAATGATATAATGTCATCGACGACGATGATAACAACACGAACAGAGACACTATAATAAAAACGATTAGTGTTAATTGTTTGTCTTTAATTATTTGTCCCGGTAGTTGCGGTAATGTCTTTTAACAATATCGATATGTTTCATCGTTAGCTAATTAATAATTTAAAGGAACAAAGAGGGAAGAAGATAGATAGGGAGAAACGACGAGAACGATGTGGCTACTCGATCGCAGAAGCCACTTGTTAAGATATATATCGAAGGACGGATGTATCCGGCGTTACAAAAAAGCGAAAAGCAAAATAATTGACGAAAACGTAAGGATGCGCGCGCGCGTTTAGAGGAAGGAGAGCGAGAGCGAGGAAGACGCGACGGAGACAAAGGCGAAAATGTGGACGCGGGCGATAAGGGAAGGTCGGCATCCGGCGCGGCGCTTATCGCCTCCTTCTCTATTGCGCGTGCTATTTCCTGATCGACGATGTATCCGTTCCGCAGCTCCAGACCAAGACGACGAAACTGACGAGGCGGGGCATCCGGCACAGGACCGTTTACAAGTGCAGGCTGTGCCTCAAGGCCTTCCAGAAGCCGAGTCAGCTGGTCAGGCACATTAGGGTGCATACCGGCGAGAAGCCCTACAAGGTACGACGACGACGACGACCTCTACGTCGCAGTCTCTATTTTTCGATCGAGTTCGATCGTTGGAGCAGATTTTTCATTGATGTTAGCCTTTGGATATGACTTTATCGTGGCAGGACGCTAGTCTGTCCGTGTTTTAAGCGACGATATGAGTTGGCATAATAGCTTCGACGTTCATCTCGAAAATAAGCCGGGGAAAATGATTGGCGGTGACATTAACCAAGTTTTCTATTTGTTTGAGCCTGTAGTTTCTGTCGAACTTCGTTTCATGTTGGCTCTCCGGTATTTCCGGAGCATTTTTGGCCCGTTTAAAACGCGTCTATTTTAAACTCATAATATCTTGGGCGCTATTTATTACTTTACAAATAAAATAAAGAGAAAACAAGAAAAGAAAAAAATGGAAGAAAGAGAGAGAGAAATTTTATGATTAATATACGTATGTGCGTACACATACGATGAATGGAAACGAAGTTCCTCAATGAAATGAAATGTTTCAATCAATACAATTGATATCCAATATCCGTCAAATATATTTATAAGTGATTTGCTAATTTTCAATTCTTTTTCTAAGTTTTCTAAGTTGTTCAATATTGTTACTCGTCTTAGATTTACGAGGATAATTGACTGTTAATGATTTCATCAATATTTTTTAATATTTGAAGAAAGAAAAAAAATGGAAAATTAGCGACAATATTATTTGGAGATTATGTAAAGAACAAATTAGCACTCGATTGTGAAGATATAACATTTTTTAGATGTAATTTGAGTAAATAAGTCGTATAAAGACGTATTTTTAATCAAATTGATTGTTCACTATACAGAGATCTTTATTTAAAAATCTGTGTAAATGAGAAATTATCCGATCTACATTCAATCATTGGATAAGCGAGTTTAGGAAGACTATTTTTCTTCCTTTTTTTTTTTTTTTTTTTTTTTTTTTTTTTAACGTAGTAGTGTCATTAACTACTATGGTTAGTATTTAAAATAGATGCGATTTAAAATAGAATATAAGATATAAATTGGAGGGATTTTTTTAATTTTAAATTTTTTTTTTTTTTTTTTTTTTTTTTTTTTTTTATAATAATGAATAATGAAACGACGATATAATTAATTTTTGTAATTTTATGTTTTTGAATATTCCTTATGTAAAAGAAATTTTCGCAAAATCGACATAACGAGCAGGGCACTTTAACAATTAGCATTTAATTACCCTGAAATTCCGTAATTTCTTTTACATTAATATGTTTTTATTTTAATGAGCGCTGTGTTGTTTAAAAGTAATTTAAAATTCGTGGAAAATTGTTAGATTTCAGTTATTTTAAAGGCTGTAAAGTTGTGAAAACGAATGCGTTGTAAAGCCTATAAATATAAATATTAGAAGAACCTGTAATATTAATCTAAAAATAAATCCGTTTACTTTGCTATCTATAATTAAATTATATTTCATTTAAATTATGTCACATAACTATCAGAGCACTCATGCAATATTCAAATTAAATTAATAGCTCACTAGTTGCACTGTCCATTTCCAACCATAGCCTTTTCATCCCAATTGTTATAAAGTCGATGATTATTTATTTATAATCAAGTGCTAATAACGAAGAATATAGGTTTCAATGACGGACGATATCAGCTGTAAATTAAATGTTAAAGTCTCTCGCTCGTATCAAAGCTAAACAACCTTATTAAGAATGTTAATTGCTCCATTGCTTAATTTAATGGGGGGGGGGGAGAAAAAAGAAAAGAAGCCATGCCAAAGAATAAACAAATAATGAAATCTTAATATCCTTTCCGCACGTTAATTAACCCTCTTTACGACTTTGCCATTCCAGTGCAATTTGTGCAATCGAAGTTTCACGCAAAAAGGTTCCGTGAGAATTCATATGTGGCAACACAATGGCATCAGGCCCTATAGCTGCTCATTCTGCCATGCTAAATTTAGTCAAAAAGGTAAATTCTATCCTCGCTATTCGACTTTTCGGATTCACATAAAGTACGAGGCCTACCGAACGAGCGCCACTTAATCCATGACCAATCAAACGACGTACTTCAAAGTACATTGACTAATTGTAATTTTCATTTTTTATCGCGACAATGACCACGTACAATTGTGCTTCCGAAAATTATGTCCCATGAACGTATGCTTCGGCGCTGCGAGAGCACAAAGCGATGCGCGGCTGACACTATCTCATCTATATCCGGCTTTGTTTCTCGATAACTCCACGTCCTTCGCTCCCGCAGGCAATCTCAATGCGCACATCCTCAGGGTGCACAACACCCAAGAGGATTCGCCCGTCTACCGATGCAGCCAGTGCCCGTGCAAATTCAAGAAGCTCGGCAGCCTCAACGGCCACATGAAGCGAGTCCACAGTTCCGGCGGCAAGGCACGCGACGTCGACGGCGACCCGGACAAGGAGGAGGATCTGCCCGAGACCGAGACCGAGATGCAGCAGCCGGTCCCCGTGGTCTCCCAGCGGCCGGAAGTCATTAAGCCCGAGGCCGAGCGAGCGAGGCCCAAGGGCGTGGCCAGTGATTCGCGGAAAAGATCGGACGAGGGCTTCGTTGTGACGGATGACTGCGAGAAAACGGCGATGGTCACGCTTTTGGACAAAATGTCGAACGACGCGAAAGGGTATATATGGGTGTGCGTGCGTGTGTGCGTGTGCGTGTGCGTGTACACGCACACGCGCACACACACACACACACACACGTTGTTGTCGCTCCTCTTTCATTACGCCCCTTACGATAATATGCCTCATTGCCGTTCCATCTCTTTATATTGATTTTAATAGACAATCGTTTGGCGCGATTGTGGCGTTGCCCTTTGTTTTTCTCCTCTCTAACGTCATTATTGCCGAAGATGTCGCGGAATGAATACGCGCGTGAACGCCTTATGTGCTAAGGATGTATTTAAGATGTCATTAAGATAGAGTTAAAGCTACGAGAATAGTTGACGAGAGGGGGATGGGGTGGGGTGGGGTGGGGTGAGAATGCTTGGGCATATGAGAAAATTAAGCTACCAAGTGTTATGTATGATCTCGACGGGGGTATCGCGTTAAGAAGATGAAGTCTTATCGAATTGAAAATTAGTCGATTGAGGAGAGGGAGCATCGCCTCTTTATTTGCCTCTGTACTTGACGCGATAGTAAAATCGCATTCGATTTATGCTCCGTATCAATCCTGGACTAAAACAAAGTATTTTTATTTTCAGAAAGTATATAAAAATAAAACAACGATTTGTAAATAACTCTAGACTTTACGAATGCTCTTTCTGTGATAAAACTTTCAAAAAGCCATCCGATCTTATGAGACATTTAAGAATCCACACCCAAGAGAAGCCCTACAAGGTAAGAGCGTCACTTAACAAATTAACAGCATTATCATTTCAAGAACTTTCAAATTAATGTTTTTTTTTTTTTTTTTTTTTTTTTTCCCCCTTTACCACCTGTATACAGTGCAAGATATGCAGCCGATCATTTACTTTGAAATCAACTATGCTATCGCACGAAAAGACTCATAAGAATTCAAAAAAATTTTCCTGCAATTTGTGCACAAAGGTTTTCGCAACTGAAAAAGAGCTTCTACTTCATGAAAAGTAAGTTTTCATTTCTATATACGTTCATTGTAATGATTAGAAATAAGTTTTTTGTCCCCTACCAATTTCCTCTTAATCTCTTTTTTTTTTCTTCTATTTTTATAAGTAGAGAGAAATTCGGATGGTATTTATGGGATTAACAAATTTAGTTTATACTTACCCAGTCTTACCTATTGTAATTATTATTATTGCAATATCGTAGAATATTGAATTTTTATGGTAAAAATTTAGGATGGATCGCGTTTGTACTTGAAACAGCGTAACATATTATATTGAACATAGCGTTCAACATAGTATATTGAACTTATAATTTTAATAAACAAATACACGACATGTAACAGACACGAAAATATATGTCCGCGTGCGATTGTAAATACTTTTGTATTTGTAATTTTATAAATTTAATTGATGCAAAAAGTATAAAGAAAAGAAAAAATATATATACTTTAAGGTAAATGTGCTTTCAAAAACCGAATCGAGTATCGTACAATATTTAGAGGTTACTTAATTTTATCAGCGAGTCGTGAATATTTGCCTATGCTCTTTGTTTCATAAATTGCACATGATTAATGATGTATGTCATTTGACTAGGAAAGGCAACTCCCATTTATCTCGCGACACTGCGAACTAATGTAATTACAACCTCGCGTGTTTTAGGTTTCACAGTAAAAGCCACAAGTGCGGATTGTGCGGAAAGAAGTTCACCAGCTTCGATCAGCTGAAGACGCACTCGGCCGTTCACCAAAAGGGCAAGAGCGAGCAAGAAGGCGAAGGACTATTAACAAATCGGCGCAAGAGTCAGTACACTCCGGAAGTGCAGAGTCTCGCGCCCAAGGTCGTTCTTAAGGAGCCCCTAGTGCTTACCGAGGCGAGCAATGGCCTTCTCCATGCCCAACCCAAATTTCGCAATGAGATCGCCCACGGCAAGGGCAGGCCTCACAAGTGTCCTTCCTGTCCTGCGGCCTTTATAAAGCTGAGCCACCTTAAGCAGCACCACCGCAAGCACACTGGCGAGAGGCCCTTCGTCTGTGCCTTGTGCGACAGGTAACGAGGACATGGTGTAACCGAGTGCTCTGTGCTACTTAAAATTCAACGTTGTACCCAATGAACTTTTTTATGCCCTTATTCGCATACAAACACGCTCGACGATAGCGTGTTTTTTTCTTTTTCTTTTTCTTTTTCTTTTCTTTTTCTTTTCTTTTTCTTTTCTTTTTTTCTCTTTTTGTTCACTTGCCGCTGGATTTATTTATTTCTTATTTCATTCGATTTATCATTTAAGTGTGTATGCGCGCGCGCGAAGAGCCGTTCGCTTTGTGGCCTCTTTTAGTTATTTTTGAAATTAGCATCACCGAATGAACGCCGCGCTCCTAATTTTCCGTCTACCAAGAATAATAAGCTTTCATAATAGATTTAGACACCTGAGAAGCGACGAAAACTTATTTTCGAAATTTATTAATAAATCATTACCAGCCATTGTGACTGTAATTAAATACTGTCAGACTTATATTATCGATAATTTTATTAATCGATGTGAATTAATTTCGTTCCATTTCAATTAAAGACGCCTGTCTTTTCTTAGAAAGGGTTGCTATTCTATTTCATTTTTTTTTCTTTTTGATATTATTTTTAATTGTAATATTAATTAATTATCGGGCGTCTCATCAGGATTAATGCCTGCGTGATAATAGTTTGGCGATTATTATCACCTCGCCGATTTTATATGATTATGATTGCGATGTTGTTTCTACAAATGCAACGGATTTTCTTTATTTTGTAGAAAATTTTCGACCAACAGTGCGTTAAAGGCTCATCGGCGAATACATGATTTATTGAAGCCGTATAAGTGTTACGTTTGCAATAGAAATTTTTCAACATCGAGCAGCATGAAGAGACACCATATTACCCACAGTAATAAACGGCCTTATATGTGTCCGTATTGTAATAAAACGTTTAAAACAACGGTGAATTGTCGTAAGCACATGAAGGTACATAAGCAAGAAATTGCCCTACAGGTTGGTAAATTTATTTTATCGCTGCTCAAAATTAGTCGACGTAGTGAGAAAGTGGAACTTTATTTACCTGCTCTCCTATATTTACAGCAATTGGAATCTGAGAAAAAGCAGCAAGAGTGTTCAAATTATTCGTCGAATAATATTGAAATAATAATGACAGATCAAAATATTATTAATGATCAAGAAATAACTTTCCAACCAATTACAAACGATTTGAGACCAAATTTAAACGAATCCATTGAAACGATGATTAAAGATAAAGATACACCTTTTATCACTATTTCTCCATCGTCGCAAAACATTAACGTGACAACGCGTATGTCTATATTATTTAAACTATATCATTAAAACTCTATACATTGTCAAATTTTGTTTAACGTAAAGTAATTTAAAGTAATTGATTGAAGTACGATGTTAGTTAGAAGATGTATTCGGTCGAAATTCTGATAATTATTTTAACATTTTAATATCGCCTCGCTACATTTAAAAACAAATTTTGACACTATAGAGAATGGTAGCATACATACATCTTTAAAAAAAAAAAAAAAAAAAAAAAAAAAAAAAAAAAAAAAAAAAAAAAAAAAAACCCCCTTTTTTGTGGGGAAGTAGACCATTGTTTGCGTAGAAGTGATTGTGTTTTTAATGTTTTCACAGAAAATATACCCCTAGTAGAGAATCCTAACATAGGTACAACTCAAGCATTACATGCCGATGAGACTGGCACTATTACCTTACCTAACTATTCGGGTAACCAATCGCTTACACCTGTATGTACTGTTGTTTTCAAACTAATATTGGTTTTCTAAGCCTCATAATTAATAGAAATTTTTATTTGATAAACGCGTTTGTCTGTGCATTGTAGGAGAGCATAAGAGAAATCGAAGAGACTTTAAATCAGCAATTATTTAGCATTGGAATGAATCTCGCGCTGAACAATACCGTCAGACAGATTGAGGAGCATAATAATCCTTCTCTGGAAAATCGCGAACAACCTATTTTAAGTATAATTTATGATAATGGCAAGAGTTTGGAATCCTCCATTAATACGGCCATAAATGCAAATGTTTACACTTCGCAGTATGATGCATTTGACATTAATCAAATAACGTTGCAGGTAAGCATTTCGTCTCTTTTTTTGTCCTTTGTTTCTTTTGTTTCAAGAATAAGTAATTAACGAATAATATGTCTCAACTTATTTTTACTAAATATTATCCATTAGATATAATAAATAGAGTCTTAGATAATGACTTTTCTTTAATTCGTAATTGTCCTTCTCTCTTTCATTGAAGGAAATAATAATAAAAAAAAAAAAAAAAAAAAAAAAAAAAAAACTTGAACAACAAATAATGTGTATAATTTTTTCATTTCATCAAGGAGGACAATGACCTTGACATAGGAATAGCGCATCCTAATGCAACTAATATGGCTAGCATTTTACCACAATCTATACAAGAGCATTCGCAATATAATCCACAATTGATTGATCAAGATTTTCAAAATACTGTCATTCTTAAGCCAGATTATTTGAAGAAGGACATGGAAGTATTTAACGATTCTTCGCTTATCAATATGGAAAAGGAGCCGTCGTCGTACAATGAAAGCAATAAGATCTTACTTACAGATCATAATTTTCAGTGCCGTATTTGCAATATGCCGCAATTTAGCACCGATGACCTCAACGAGCATTTAAAGATACACGAAGATAATAAGGAATATCAATGTAGCCATTGTTTTTCGAAATTTTGTACAAACGCAGGCCTTAATAAGCATTTAAAGGTCCATACAAGTTTAGAGTAAGTAAATTCTTTATATCCTCAACGACATTGAATATGGGACTTTATTAACAATATGATGTGTTTGTAATTTCCAAAGGACACATAAGTGTTACGAATGTAACGAGGAGTTTTCAACGACATTACAATTAAGAAAGCACATAAAAGATCACGTGAAGTTCGAGCTGCAACTCAAAAGTTTAACAGATCAAGACGATATGAATATTAATCTTGAATCGAAAAAGGACGATGTAAGTGCTGATATACCTTCTTCGTGTTTATTTTTTTTTTTTTTTTTTTTTTTTTTTCCCTTATTAAATTTAACATCTATTTAATAATACTTAACGAGACTTGAATACTTTCAGGAAATCGTCGATAAAAAGTATAATAAATGTAAATATTGTCCTAAGATTTTCCGTAAACCCAGTGACCTCATAAGACACGTTAGAACCCATACCGGTGAGCGACCGTATCAGTGTAACTTTTGTGACAAGAGTTTCGCTGTTAAATATACATTAGATTCTCATTTAAAAATACACGGAGGAGAAAAGTCATTTTATTGTAACGTGTGCAATAGTATGTTCACAACAAAAGATAGTGTTAAGGTTCACATGAAATTACATACAGGTAAATTATTCAGAATATTTAATGTATAATGGGGCTAGTAAGTACTCTCTGACTTGTTTATCCAATATAAGTAGCGGCTAAACACTTGCAAATGTAACGATTAATTTTTACTTCCAAACACACGACATTGTAAAACAAAAGCTTAAAAGCCCTTTATCGGTAGAGTCCTTTATACATTATTGAAGATATATAATATAAGAACGCATTTTTACGTTTTAAGACTTTTAAGCAAATGGCTCGATCCATCCGTGTGTAAATCGTCCATACACAACGTCGTAATAAAGAGGAAATAATTTTAAAAACCACGTGAAATACCGTTCGTTACAGATGATCGGTTATTCGAATGTCCTCTGTGCGACATGACGTTCCCGACCTCCGGCCACCAAAAGCTGCACCTCGCATCCCACGAGCAGGATCCCAATCCATTGGTGAGCTCGGCGATCCAATCGATGGACGCGATGACGGGTATCGTGACACCCGAGCCCAATGATCCCAAGGACGGGCAGATCGTTCGGATCGTACACACGGCACCGGTGATCCAGCCGCTTCTCGAGCCGACGGTGGACGGCCATCAGACTATCGACGTGAACTCGGGCCTCGGTGGCCTAGCCGGCGATCAGATAACCTTCAATGCGGACGGCGCCGTTTCGAGCGACAGCAACGGCTTTCTCTTAAACGAGAATAACCAGCTCGTCGCCAATCTTCAGTTTCTGCTTGCCAATGGCCTCGTCACTATACATACGGAGGACCCGGCGCTCGCCTCTCAGCTGCCACTCTCCTCTTCGAGCTGCGCCCAGAATGACTTTCTCGCGACGAGCGTCGCGCAAAAGGTACAGGACCAGGCGACCGACCTCCAAGTCATATTCGCCGGTGAGATACCGGACGCGGTGGTGACTCCTTTAACCAACGAGGCCGATTTTCAGCTCAACAATAGCATGGTTTTGCAACTGGAAAATATCGACTCGACTGTGCCCGACAGGAACGACGAGAGATGTCTCAAGCAGATCAAGACAGCAAGGTAAACCGAGGGCTCCTTTCATCTCCAAACTGCCTAATATCTCTTAATATTGAAACGAACTTGACTTTCAACACTTCATCCTAATAATAATAATTTTGAATTTTGTTATATCAACCTATACATTCGTTCATCAATACCTTCCTTCTGTTCGTCCTTTATTTATACGTCCTTTATTTATACGTTCCTTCATTCGTTCATTATTCGTTCATTTATACGTTCGTTCTATCCTTCATTCATCATTCCTTCGTCCATCCATCCGTCCATCCGTCCATCCGTCCATCCGTCCATCCGTCCGTTCATTCGTTCATTCATTCATCAATTCATTCATTCATTAATTAATTCATTCATACGTTCGCTTATTCGTATTTATTCATGTATTCGTTTATTTATTAGCTCCTGGTGGCCTTTCAGAGTCGTGTACGTACGAGCACTCATGTTTTACCGACATATTGTTATTATTGTTGTTGTTGTTGTTGTTGTTGTTGTTGTTGTTGTTGTTGTTGTTATTGTTATTATTATTGTTATTGTTATTGTTATTGTTATTATTGTTATTACTATTAACGCAACGAGTATTACCAGTTGTTGAAAATGAGATACTTAATGCTCGAGAGAGGCGACGCGTGGGAGTGGGAGGTAGAGGACAATGTCGCGCGATTGCCGACCTGGAGGATACCTAGTGGCCGCTATAGCGAGTAATGATGATGTTTTCAGTAGCGCAGCGAGGCGGCAGTGCGATATTTGCGGCAAGGCGTTCGCGAAGCCGTGCCAGCTCGAGCGGCACAAGCGCATTCACACGGGCGAGCGACCCTTCAAGTGCGACTTCTGCGGCAAGTCCTTCGCCCAGAAGTCGACCCTCCAGATGCACCAGAAGCGTCACACCGGCGACCGGCCCTACTGCTGTCCCCAATGCCAACGCTCGTTCACGCAGAGCGGCAACTTGCAGACGCACTTGAAGCGCAAGCACAAGCTCGATCCCGTAGAAACGAAGAGGCTCGCCAAGACCCAGCAATTCGTCAACTACGATCCGAAGCTCCTGCCGCCGCCGCCGAGCATCGAGGACCCAAGGGCGCTCAACTTCGACGACATGTCCATCGTCGAGCTGTTCAAGTAGAGGCGCCCTCATCCTTCGCTCCCCCACCCCTCCCCCCACCACCACCACCACCCACCGACCTGCTTGTTGCGACGTATATTCGGTGGCCACCGACGTTATTATTCATCACCTTCTCTTGCAATGCCAACTTTATCTAACTAACTGCCTTGGTAGCTAGCTTTCTTTCTTCCTTCTTTCCATCTTTCCATCTTTCCTTCTTTCATTCCCTCTTTCATTCTTTCTTTCATAAACCAATTTTTTTTTTTTTTTATTACGAGAGTAACGCGTAAGTGACAAACCTAGATCATACGGCAGTACGATTATTAAGACTGAGAATTTTAGCATAAGCAGACTAATGTTCAGTGACGCGTTGATTTATGGATGCTTCGAACGTAACTTATCCAATATGTAACGAGGAATACCTTCCCTTTCAAGTGCTATGATTTTGTTCTTTAGCTTTCCGTTTAACGTAAGGTCGATTATTATATTTTTCATTTAATAAAAAAAAATTAAAAAAAAAATATATATATATATATATATATATATATATATCGTAATAGTATGTGGCCAGCATCGTGTTTCCGAAACATAACTAAAGTGTCCTTTTATATTGTGCAAAAGTGTTACGAAGTAATAGAAAAAAAAAAAAAAAAAAAAAAAAAATTTTTTTTTATCACTGCGTTTTTTATATGCCTAGAGTGACTTACAAATCAATATTTACAAAAAGTGTAAAAATGTATAGTAATGGCGTTTAAAGTACAATATAGATTTAAGTCTTTAATGATAAATATTATAATTACAATTGAATAAAGTAATTTTTATTTAATGTTTAAAGTTACATTGATTTTCCGTCAGTGGACATCCATCAGGATGTTTCTCATGAAACCAACAAAACTTTACTTTCCTATTCGCACTTGACATTCTCAATTTCTTATTTTGGCCGACTGCGTCCTTGCCTGGAATGCGAAATCTCACCCTTCCACAATCGACTTTGAAAATATTACTGTTATTCTTTAACAATGTTTGCAAGCCCCCGTATTCGCTTTTCAATTTTTTCATCGTCTCCGGACCTATTGTCGCAGCTAGTTCAGCCAATGAAATTTCACCGCCGGCATTCCACGTCTTTTTCACTTCTTGATTGGAAACATCGATTTTACGCATTTTACATAGAAGCAGCTTAACCACGATGTCGATGATATTAGATATCAAGCTTTTATCAATTTGGGTGCAATTTTTTACTTTCTCTACGTTATCACGAGGCGTGAATTTACTAGACCACGCGCCCTCGTTATCGCTATCCTTACACCTATCATTTATCATTTTTCGTATCTTAAGATCTTGCGAATTACTTTCGGACAATAAATAGGTTCTTTCGGTGCCAATTAAACAAATTCTTTTGGTCGAGGGTATTCGTAATCTGTCAATGTTTACTTTAAAGCCGCACATTCTGCTCACATGGCCAATGTATTTCATGTAGTCTGAATATTGACTAGAAGCGGTATTTCCCCTTTGATATTTCTTACCATTGAATTCATAAGCGCAACAGGGTAATAAGAAGAACCGACATTTATAAGAACTTCTTGCAGCTATTACAGGAATCCAAGGTGTTAGTTCATCGGAATGATTGCCTATTAACCAATCCGTTTCTGGAAATAAGCTTTTCGAAGATGGAATAATTGTTTGAACCTGTAATACAAACGTTATTTCTCTAGATTAAGATAAAATTAGCATGTAATGAGAAAAGTTTTTATATAGTTTTTTTTTTTCTATATTAAATTTTATATTAACATGATGTCGACAACAGTTTATGGGCTTATATATATATCATAATGCCACGTACATCCATGGACAATGAAATTCGTTCGCTATTAAAGATACCTCTAATTTTGTAGTTTTTGGATAGAGATCCCAAATTTTTCTCTTACGTAGGTCGATTCCAAATCCTCGATGACCTTCGTTACTGAGTATATGCACAAGTAAGCCATTACCGCAGCCCAGGTCTAAAAATGATTGCTTTTCCTTAATGTTCAACTTTTCCCTTTCCGACTCCCACAATAATAACAAGTATGTCGCAATGGCAATATCTTCGTAAACAAATTTTAATGGATCCGTACTTTCTGGCCATATTCTCACCATTTCCATTCCATATTTTACCTTCAATTTACTATACAAATTTGTATAGAGCTCCAAATCTATAAGTTTCAAGGAACCGTTAACTCCACTCTGCTTTGGCTCTTCGTTAACAATCCACCTAAGCAATTTAGGAGAAAAGCTGCTTCTTAGCCACATCAAATTACTGCCTTTCCAGCTCTCTAAATTTTCTACAAAAATTGAAATACAATTATTTCTATACGTTATCTGATAAGGATCTTGAAAACCTAAGTTTTCTTTCTCGCCATTCTTGCAACACTTATGATAAAACTGTGTAACGGAATTATTGTTTATATCAATCAGTGAAAGCTGTAGCGTCGGCGAGAACTTATCACTACGAGGTAATAACTTGGCAAAGTGAAGATAAATTACGTTGTCTTTACTTTGTAAGTAATCGATATCTTTTAAATCATCCGATTTAATAATTAAACTATCCATATTACATTTTCCATTTAAATTTATCAAAGACTGTTCGATGTCTGTTTTAATATCTTCGATATCATTTGGATCTACAACATCGTTTGTAAAGCTCATAAACCATTTGAAAATGTCTGTACTATCAATATTTTTCAATTGAAACATGACAAGTTGTAGGGAATAAAAAATTCTTCGATTAATAAATTGACCATTGTTTAACAATAGTTTTACAGCTTTCCAAAATTTTTCACTACTTACTGTACATGGCTCACTAATAACTCTATCGCAAAATTCCATTTTTATTGTACACTTATTTCTTTAATGTATCTTATTACTATTCTTTCGTATGCTGCAATTTTCACTTTCTGCATTTAATGGACAAACAAAATTAAGAAATATTAGAAATTTTTTAATAGTCATTAATTTAATAGTCATTTAATAATAGTATTTACATGTATAATGTACTTTATAATCATTATATTTGTATACCATATTGTATTCGTCGAAAGAGAGTTTATATATTTTTAATACTGTCATTCTTTATTAAAATATCTAATCAACAAAATTCACAGTACTGAATTTCATTTTAATATTTCATTAAAACAAATTTTTTTACTATTACTTTACAAAAAGTAACATTAATATACGTATATTATATTATGATTAGTGAAATTGATTATATCGATAGAGCTTGTAAAAGCTTTATTGAAGCGACTGAGGTTAGGTCAAACGTTCGAAATAATACAATATTATAACGATCTTACCGTCTTTAGTATGAAATAAATTTCACGTGCCTGTTTGATCTAATGAATGTAGTGTTCATTTGGATATCTCGATAAACTTTCTGACTAATCAGTGATGAAGTGATTATGTGTGTAATGTAGTAAAACTGCAGTTGAAGTTACTCTAATGCACGATATTTTGCACAAGTAACTTTTCGTCTTACTCCTCACTCTTCGGTTAAATATTTTACTACCTATTTTAATTAATATAAATTATTTAAACACTTTTTTATATTATTTAGGCGGATTAAACATCACGCTTTTAAAATCCTTAATAGTACAATCACGTATATGCACATAACCTCGTTTTTTATTGCATTGTAAATACGAATGTTTTTTGTATTTGAAATTCATATAGAGTCACTAAACAATCACATGTTCCACATTCAATAGTTTTTAATAGTTTTTATTTTTATTTTTCTTTTTTTTTTTTTTTTTTTTTTGTACCTGTATATTGATAATATTTCTAATGAAATAACGCTAAAGCTAAGGTATTTTATTGGTTTTATAATGGCTTTAAAAATAATGGAATTTTAGAAAAAATTTGCCAAAATAGCTTTTAGAGTACATTTTAAGAAGATGAGTTTTTTAAATTCTTCGCGTTGGAGAGTCTTTTTAACTTCAGCCGATCTTCCTATTCGATTGATTCAACGATTGCTCTGTCTTGCTGCTGAACATGAAACAGCAGGAGTCATAAGTAAGATGATATTTTAAATTAATATTTATATTTTATCATTATGTGTTTGTAAAGTTAAAATAATTGACTGGGGATTTACGATTTCTAGTCATTGGAAACGAGATCCTGAGAGCTCAAGTCACGGACACAAATTCAAATTTCATTTGTAAGCATCTTTATCGTTGCGGAGTTAAAGTTAAGAAAGTTAGTTGAATAGTGGTACATGTTTGTAAACAAGAGAGCTATGCGTGTACAAAACAAGAAACATTTTTCTTGAAGATTTCAGTCATAAGCGACGATGTTGATGAGATAGCGCAAGAAATCAAGGAATTCTCTGGGAAATACACACACGTTATAACTTCGGGTGGCATTGGACCGACCCACGATGATGTTACTTTCCAAGGTATTTATCGACTGACGATTGTAATTCGTTGAGTTCATAATATGTTATTCGTATTCCAGGTCTAGCAAAAGCATTCGACGATAATTTATATTGCCATCCAACGCTAGTAAAAATTATAAAGACATATTTTCATATAGAAAATCCTTTATCTCCCATATTTAAGCCAGCTTATGTAATATAAAATTAAATGTGCCATAAGATAATTTGTAATTAATTACTCCATATAAATATTAATGTTTTTTTTACAGATACCAAAACAAGCTATTTTAAAATTTACTATTAACAGTGATACAAATTTGCCATCTAATTTTCCATGTATTATATTAAAGAATGTTTATGTTTTTCCTGGATCACCTGCTTTTCTACAAGTAAATTTTAAAAATTTATACAAGGTAATGTATGCCAAAAAATTTAATAAATATATATATAGTATTTATGAATGTAATTATTAATTAAATTATTAATTAAATATTCACTTAGTAATTTAAAGTACTATAAATTTTAATTAAAAATAGATTTTATTTGATACGAAGAAACGCTTTATACAGCAAGAGTTATTTCTTAATGCTTCGGAGGATGTATTTGCAAATGCCTTAAGTACAGCTTCTAAGGAATTCCCCAACATAGTATTTGGATCTTATCCAGAAGAAGCTAAGTAATAAAATCAATTTATCCATTTCAAATTTGTGTATATATATTTCATTTCTATTAAAATTCTCATCAAATTTTAAATTCAATAATTTCTGTGATAATACAAATTATTATTCGAGTGTCAATTGTAGAGTGCAAAATTCAATATACATGTTCATAAAACCATCGTTATAGAATTTCATTCATATAATTATTTGTATTTTATAAATTACAATAGCCGAACATGAATATGAATTTACTAATTAAGTATTCTATTATTAAATAATGTATTATCTAAAAAACATTGATACGAAAAGTATAATGTATAATGCAATTTGCAAATTATAATTTTAATGTTAGCTTTAACAGTATTAATGAATTTAATTGGCTTTGCTTTTGTAATAATATTGATAATTTCATTTTTAGAAATTATAAAGTTCGAGTGACAATAGAAGGTGATGAGAAAACGGAAATCAAGAAAGCTAGAGAAAGATTTTGTAATTTGATACCTTCAAATATTGTAGTTGATTATACGAAATGATGGAAAAATTCGTTCAACAAATTAGTTGACAAATACATAATAAAGTATTAGAAAAAACTATTTCGTAATTATTTCTAGTCGTACCAACATTAGCTGGCAATGTATTATTTGACAATCATATATATATATAGAAAAGAATTTTAAATATTGTTGAATTAAGGCTGTAGTATAGAAAATTTTGCGACCAAAAGTGCATACAACTTTAATCAGGAATTAAAGTCGGGAGAATCGACGTTGTGAGGGAATGAAAAGAGAACACATATTGTTCTGAGTAGTTTTCGTCATATGATGAAAAAAAGCTTTCTTCTTTACCTTCGCGAAGTTTTTTTTTCTTCTCTCAGTTTATTTCTTTTTCGTTTTTAGTTTCTTACAAAATTTCATTTCGAGTTAAAGCATTTTTAGTTTTTCTTTTGAAAGTTTAAAATGAGACTACGACATACGAGCAGCTAGGGGAGAGTATAAAAAAGAAAAATATCTCCTTTTTCCACTTTCCCTCCTTTACCCTTTGCAGAGAATTCCGTGTTTTCTCTCTAGCCCCTCTCCTCTCTCTCTCTCTCTCTCTCTCTCTCTCTCTCTCTCTCTCTCTAACTCGCTGCTTTCATGAGGCAGGATGAGGGAGTATTATCTTGCCCCCTTTTTCAACTATTACAGAGTTTCATAAAAGAAAGAGAAAATAATAAATTGTCCGCGTCTTTCTTTGAGAAGGGTTTGTGAGCTCTTCTCGTATACTTTTTCAATTTAATATTAATCTTACTTTTGTTAGCGACTTCTTCGTGAGCGGAGTTTCATTCGATTTTTATCAATTATATAGATCGAGGGCTTTCCATTTTTATTTGGTATTAGCAGGTGCTTGCGAATAAATATATTTTTAAAGACAATTGATGCGCGGACGACAAGATATTTATTTTCATAATTATACAAATACGTTTAAATAATATGAATTGTAATATTTAATATTGCATTACTATCATATTTTCAAATTAAAAATTACAACTATTACCGTATAATATTATTTCAGTTTATATAATTCAATAGTTCTACACAAACACGTGTATAGGTGATGTTATACAAGTTTATTTGTAAAAGCGCAAATATTGACAAAATTGTCAAATTAAGTAGTTGCGTGTATGTTTCTATCGGTCTGCCTGGTTACTTTAGTTGTATTAACGGGCATTGGATTATTTTTAATCAATAACAAATTATAAACCAGAATATTTAGAATTATTTTTTGTTGTTGTTAATTTTATATCGAGAAATGAAAGAATCGTGCACTAAGTCTGCATTAGTTTCCATTTAATTTTGCAAATAGTAATGACGTAGTATTATCATAAAATTCCATCATACATTTTCATTACGAGACAAATAAATAAATTATTTTACAGTTACATTAGGAGATAAAGAATAGTCATCGCGTGTATTTAAAGATCTAAGCTTGGATTCTGTTATAACGAAAGTGCGTATCCACGTTAACATCGTAACAAACTTAATTCCAACAATAAAATGCCTCTTGCATGCATTAATAATAAAGTATAAGGGACCATGGCATAAATAATTCCATAAAAAGCATGTATACACGCAAAAGGGCGAGAGTAATTTAGCTGCATAAGTAATCTCTTAAAAGACATCTTTGTACAAAGATCACCGCGGAATCGTCTTTTCGAGACCTTTTTTTCTTCCATCGCGAGCTTTAAGCCTCCGCGAGTGAATAATTTAATTTGAGATTAACGTGCATAAACAACGCATATAAAGTCTAGATTCCGCTGTGTATTTCACAATGTAGGGAAGAAAAGCCGGAACGGGTCATTTCTTCCATTTTCCTACATCAAGGGGCTAATTCGATCGAACTGCTCGCGAGTCGAAATAAATTTCGGGACAAAAAGAAGTGCGAAGGGAAGCGAAGTATCGCGGCGCCGCATAATGTATACCTTGGATTTATCGGGAGAGTCGGACATATTTCAGTGTCCTCGTACTCTTTTTATCAGTGGAAATTCATCGTCGTACGGGGCGCCTAAAAGGGATATCGAGACTCCAACTCGTTGGAACTTTCGTGTAATTGATCATTGGGCAGAAAAGGATGGACGAATTTATTGTTTAGTGAACGTAAGTGTTGCAATGCAATGGCGAACAGCTCATAGACATCTAATTATTATTTTCTTTTCAAAATCTTCTTACAATTGAAAGAGTCTCCAATTTAATTACAATAATTTTTTCTATAGAAATCACGATGATGTTACGTACATGAAGAATGAGGAGGTAGCGAAATGAAAGACGGAAGAAAATTCAATAATTCACAAGCTTATTCGTGCTATATTTCAGAATAAAATAGAAATTGTTTTCTAATTAAAAATAAACTAATATCGAGTCGATACATAAATAAATTCCTTTATAGCGAATGTCTCCTTATCATATATTTCTTTATTTCTTATCTCAATTTTTTTATTTTTTTCCACATTTCATACAAATGTTGAATAATATAATATACAAAGTACGTTTCTTCGGAGTATATGTCGGTCGAGTTGCTTAAAGATATTTTTAATATTCCCATTACTATTGGTCCATTTAAGCACTTGTTTAAATGTCAGTCTTATCTTATTTTTCATTCATTCCCTTTTGTAGAAAAAAATCTTCCATTAATGCCTCTTTTATTTATTATGGCTTCTAGGATTCTCCTGGATTTTATTCAATTCTTCTTTTTTTTTCTTTCCCAATGAATATTTATATAGGTACACAAGATTTTTTTCGATTCTCAAACATGAAAAATAATGTTATTCTTATAATTTAAATTTTCCACTAAAATTTTTCGTCCAACACTTACTTATTCTCCTCTATTTGCATTTTAGCTGGAGATTTAAATGATATTTTTAAATGATAGTTTTTAAACTTTTTTCACCGATATTCACAAGAATGTTTAAGTTTATCTCTTTAATTTGAATATCATTGTCGTGCAAATTTATATTTCCTTATCTCATATGCTTTTTCTAAAACTTGCATATTTTTTTGCAAATAATAATTCTATCTTTCTTGAATGTTAATAAACGTAAATTGTTAACATTCGCCTCATTTTTTTGAAATTCCATACTCCCGCTACATAAAATTTTCTGATATCATATATTTATTATTATTGATATAAACTATATTTAATATAAAATACTTCATAAATCATGAATTTCTTTTATTTCTAATATCATCGAGTATATAATAAAAATATGAGAAGATTTAAAAGTTTTATCTTATCAATCTTTTGTACCGCTTATTTCATTCTTTTTATATGTTTTTCTTATTATACTGTTCTTTATTTATTAGAAAATATTATAGGCTAAGATAGAAAAGAGAAAAATCAGCTGAACTGAGATAAAAAAAAAATCGAATGAAATTTTACCTATTACAGATTAAAACGAATGTGTATAGTTATTGAGGAAATATTTACACGAATGAGAGTGAAAAGTTGATGCATATGAGTATATTTCTTGCTTGTCAGTACGAATGTATATATGACAAAAGAGAATGATAAAACTGTAAGAGAGAGAGAGAGAGAGAGAGAGAGAGAGAGAGAGAGACACAGAGAGAGAGAGAGAGAGTGAACGAGAGTTAAAAAAAAAGGATGAAAATGAAGCTTTTGTTTGATATGTGAGGGTGTTTTCTTTCTTATGTCGTATACCAATTTTATCTCTTTGTCTCATACTTACTACTCGTGTGTCAACTTATAGAAGACGAGCAACTGGATTTTATCCCCCCCCCCGCCCTTTCTTTTTTTTTTCTTTTTCTTTTTTTTGATACCTTATTTTACATAGTGATTTTACTTGTTCAATTTTATATTAATTTTGGCTAAGTTGCTATGCTTCAATTTGGATTTTACCTACAATCTGTACAATATTCTTGCATTTAAAAATTTAAGTAATTAAATTTAATTTAGAATTTATTTATAATTATAGTGAGATAATTTTTTAAAAGTATTTTTTTTTTTAATAATTAACAATAAAATAAAATGAAATAACTGCAGTGAACAACTGTTTTTGACATATCGTTTGAAAAATATTATTAATATATTCTTATAAGCAAATTACATGTTTGTTTTGTTCGTCAAAAATGTACGTTATATAAAAATGTATTGCTTATTTACATTTTTTAATTTTAATATAATAAGCAGAATAATATTTCAATTATATTGCAATATATAAACGTATACGCTATTATTGAATAAGCAAATTTAAGTTATAGCAAAGCATTTATTTAGTCCAGAGCTGAATTATTTAGTGTCTTATTAAGAATAATCTTTATCTGGAGGCTCTTTTACTTAGATAAAGTGTAGTAGGAAAGTTGTAAAACTTTACTTTACTTGGAAAAAGTCAACTGCTACTCACAACAAGACGTGTTTATAATTTTGGGTAAGTACGGCTACTTTTCGTTTTAAGTAATTAAATAATGAGCTCAAGTCCTTCTTATTTTGTTTCGGGAATGTTTTATACTGATTAAGATTTATATTTATTAAAAAGAGGATTTTAATATTTATTCACAGATCATATTTCATTTTATTTCTGCATAAATTTAACTTTTTACTAATACGTGGAAGAATTATACTTGTTGGATTAGTTCGGCAAATGAAATAAACTTTTTATGCATTATATTATTAATATTATTTTTATGATTATATAGTTTGCGGAATAGGAGAAAAATCTATAATCTGTTAAAAGTATTTGCAAGAAATAGAACGAGAACTCGTTAAAAAATTTTATATTTAGATGATGTAACGAATGCATAAGTATATAATTTCAGTATAGTTTAAATTTATTTTTCAGTTTGATAAAAATTACTTTTCTTTATATAATAATAGTAAAATGATAATTGCTATTTTCAATAACGTACGAAGATTGAGAATTATCTTAAAAAATATATATATTTTCATATACAAGTAATCGTTTTTTAAATTTTATTTATATTTATATTTACATTTTAATATATATATATTTTTAATTTTTAAATATTATATAAAAGTATTTTAATCGTTTAATACTCAGTTATTTTTATGATTGTTATGTATAAGTATTCATTTTATA